TATTTTAAAATTTTACATTTTTTTTATTTTTGAAAAAAAAATATTGGATAAAAAAAAAAAAAAAAAAATATATATATATATATATATATATATATATATATATATATATACACAGCATATTTTAGTTATTTAAGCTGCACAGCTAAAATAAATAAATAAATAAATAAAACAAAACCCTTCCATACATTAAACAATCTCTTGTGGTAAAGCTCCACAGGAGAAAAATGGCATCATGATGCAAATAAAAGGTAGAATTAAAAAACAGAGAACTCTTTGCTACTCCATCTCCGGTCTCTTGTCCCTTGTCTCTGTCTCGTAGCCTGGATGCTCTCAGTAAAATGAAGAAGCCCTGCCTGCAGCAAATGAATGACAATAGAACGGGCCTGTAAAGTGGTCTATTGCCTCTCACATTAAAAGTTCACTGTGACTGACATCTGCCCTCACACTGCATCCAACTGTCCCCCACGTTTGCCTCAAAACAGATAGATAGATAGATAGATAGATAGATAGATAGATAGATAGATAGATAGATAGATAGATAGATAGATAGATAGATAGATAGATAGATAGATAGATAGAATCCTTATCGCTATATTGGCTGCACCTTCTTCTGCACCTTCTTCTGAAAAGAGCTCAGGGGTCAGCACCTCCCAGAGTGTTCAACTTACCCTCCTCTCCTTTCAAATAGCCAAAATATAGCTGCTTGAACAAGTGTGGATCAACCCTCTCTGGACCTGCCCCTCCCATGAGTCGTTCTACAACCCCCACCGAAACCACCGTGATGGGGTATTCACTGTGTAAAAACAGGGTATCCTCCCCTTTGTGGTTTCCCAGGATCAGAGGGGTGGAGGAGAAGGACGGAGAAGACAAAAAGAGAGACAGAAGGAGTAAGGGGAGAATGAGCTGCCACAGCTGAAATACTGAGATTGTTAGTGCTCTGTGCTAAAACAGTGGTTTTACAGCGCCTCCTGTGATTGGCTGATTTAGCACTACGGCATGGGGGAATTTTTATCCGGGTCGTTGATACGAATTGATTTCACATTTAACCGCACGGGCGAGCCAGCAGGGCCTCTCCAGGGCCATCTATCAGCTTCATCTCGGTATTAATGTAATATTAATAATAGCCGAGCTCCACGGTTAACATGTTTGTAGAAGTTAATTCCCTCTGAGACCAGAGCAAGCATAATAACTCTTTACCAAACAAGTGTAGCACTTTGATACTTTATACCACTCAAGCACACCACACAAATGTGGTCACAACTAAATGCACCACTGTGATTAATTAATAATGTTCACTGATATAAAGAGGAGAGAGCTGCTGCTGAAACATTCTTACAGATGGAGTCACCTTGTACACTCAGATGTTGCTTATAGTCTGGGCTGAGTAGTCAACAGCTCAGATGTATTAGCGACTATTGATTGGCTAATAGCTGTCAGTGTGTGTGTGTGTGTGTGTGTGTGTGTTCTTTAAACAATCATCAGACTTTCAT